TCAGTGTAATGCGCTTATCAAACTATTTTATACTATCTTCCCTTGTACACTATGACTGGTCAACTGTTCAAGACGTGTTTGAAGCTACGTCTAGCTAGTAAGTGATGGGTTATCGGACGTCATTAAGGTTAAGTAAGTAATTATCAAAAGAAGGCACCAAACAGGGAAGGCTATGTAGCACCACCAAATGTGCGGAGTAATCAGAGGGCGCTAAATATCACCAAGGATGACAATACGAGAACAGAAACGCATAAGGCGAACGATTTCAAAAGTATTCCATTCACCAAGAATTCTATCGAGGGACAATTGACCGTGAGGGACGGTCGGAAAGCAAGGCACGCTCGTCCTGGAAGTCAGGACATTCAACAAGAATGTGCACGACTGTAAGAGGAACAATGCAATTTGGACAATAAAGAGCAGGGCGGCACTCCATTAAGTGACCGTGAGTTAAACGTGTATGGTCAATAAATAACCTAGCCAGAGCCGTTTCCTACTGCCAGTTACGGTGGTAGGAGGAAGATCACAGGGACACACGACTCTTAAGAGTAAGCTGTTTGTTACCAATAACAGAAGGCCAACAACCCTGCCAACTGGCAAGGATGGAGGAATGAATAACTGGGTAAAAGTCAGAATAAGGAATACCTTTACGGGAGATGGGACAAGTGTGGATAGCTTTCTTGGTGGCAGCATCCGCACGCTCATTTAAAGAGACACCAACATGGCTGGGAACCCAGCAAAACCGTACCGACTTAAATTTACTGGAGATAAAAAACAGCCAATGTTGAATCTCGATGACCACCGGGTGGACCGGATTAAAGGAATCCAAAGCCATGAGGGCACTACGAGAGTCAACTACCAACACAAAGGAGGATTGACAACGAGAAAGCAGGAGACGAAGAGCATAGAGAATAGCATAAAGTTCTGCTGTGAAGATGCTAGCCTCCAGAGGAAGGCAACACATATAAGTGTGATCAGGAAAAACAACAGAGTAGCCCACACCATCAGCAGACTTAGACCCATCGGTGAAGATGGAAACGGAGTTGGGATGTGAAGAAAAGTGCTCAAGGAAAAGGCGTTTCAGAACTGTAGGAGGGGTAAAAGCTTTAGTAATGCGGGTCAGAGAAGTACAAAATTTGGGAAGGGGGACCCTCCACGGGGGCAAGGACGGAACAATACGAGGAGAAACATTGGTAACACAAACTTGAAGAGAATCTTGTAAGCGAGACAAATGGACAGAAAGAGGAAGGTGGTGAAGAGGAACAGGAACTACAGGAGGGGTAAAAGTCAAAGCACGACAGAGGCGAGAATGAGAATGCTGTAAGGACCATGCAAGATAGCGAAGACAGTAGCGATCACTACGGTCCTGAAGAGATAGGAAGCCTGTGTCAGCATACAAGTTGAGGGTAGGAGTTGAACGAAAGGCACCTGAGCTGAGGCGCAACCCAGTATGATGCAAAGGATCTCTGGTAGGTTAGGATAAGGGCATTTTAGTACAACAGTTTCTTGACGTTGGGGAACCTTAGGAGGACGGGCTGGCCAGTGGACAATGGCCGCTAAAAGGAAGCCTCGTAGGAGAGTCTACAACACCCACGAAACCTGGCTGACTGTGGCCGACTCATCTTTTTTTTTAACACGTTTTGGGTTTGCTCCTTACATCACTCTCTTTTCCCCTCCCTTTCTCATTTAGTCCATGCAATTACCTTATGCTCCGTTGAATCAGTTTGTCAACATACACAATCGAAGTAGTGTGTTTCTGTAGACACCAAGTTCAGTAAACCAAGTTCATGCAATGTGTCATACATTAGAGCTAAATACAATAATAACTGTACTGAAATTAGCTTTTTCAACAGACATTCATAGGTTTTTATATCACTTCCAAAACTTGTTTCATCTTTCACTGCTTTTCAAGATGAAAACAAAGTACTTCATCATTTTTCCACACTGCTGAAACTGTTCGAAACGAGCCGACCACCCACCTGGTGCCCAGAACACGGCCTCTGGCCACCCACGTGGTGCTCAGAACACGGCCTATTTTGCAAATCTGTTGTTCAAGTTGAGAAGCACATTCAGACAGTTCCTTTTGATTTAGATGTGACCTACTGTAAACTGAGTACAATTTGTCCATAAATGTTTGAAAATTATTAATTCCATGAACTTCTCAATCACATATTGCAAGGTTTAATTTGTGATTAAGACAATGCCAAATTATTATATTAGGGTAATATTCCTTAGAGAATTGTTGCAACACCAGATTTGACACGAAGCATGACATTTGCAAATGCTACAAGGTTGTTTCATATACCAGTCCATTAAATCCATGATAATAAAGACAGCTCAATAGATGCCTAGTAAGTTGTTGCTTTCTAATCAAGTAGTTCAATTAGATCTAAGAACATGTAATGGGTATTACCCTCCTTATCACTTTCACATTTCTAGTAAACTATTAAGGTTGTTTTACTGCTCAGGCTTGTTGATTCATCAATGAGAACATCAATTTTGACATTTATCTGCTTGATATGCTGCCAAATTTTATTTTTCATATTATTGGCTATGTGATTATCTCTGTGGCACTACTTAAAACTAATTTGTGTATGATAAAAAGAAAGCATAGATAAATTTTATTTTATTGCTTTTAGTTAACAATTTAACTCATTTAAGATTAGTGCAAAATGATTGATAAATACAAAACAATTTCAAATTATTTTACAATGCTGCACCATTAAATGATTATTTCATATCCCAAAAATGGATTTTTTTATTCAACTTCAAAATATTTAGAATTAATCCATTCTTTACAAACATAATTCACACACACACCTTCCACGATTTGTGTTTATATACTAAACACTGGATAACAGCTCAAATATTATACATGTAAAATATATTTTTCCTTTTAATTTAGAAAGTAATATTGGAATTACTCCACAGTATTCAAATCCAGCTATATTTTAAGTATCATCAACATAAACCTTAATATAAAATATGTATTGAATGTCAAAGTCTGCAATTCAATTTTGTGTGTAATTAATTTATAAATATTTTAACACTTCACAATATTATTATTTAGGACAGTTTTAGTAAGAGAAATCACCCATACAAATACAGTATACATATTCCTTGCATCTTTACCCTCAACACACAAAATTGTTTTCAGTACACACCAATGTTTGGATAATTCCACTTATTCTACAAACAAGAACTGGAATTATCCAAACATATTGGTGTGTAGCATATTGTTATAGCATTTGTAGAAGAACAAATGTTCTTCTACAAATACTACACATGAAAAATCTTAACATTAATCAATTTGCTCTTCTCTCCTATAATATAAAAAACATAATTATTGAGTTTTGCTTGTATACTGTCAAGTGGAGTGCTGGATGCTGCTCCTTAAAATGCAATTTTAATTAAAACCTTAATATAAACTATAAAAAATGCTAATTTTTTCAACTTGTCTTCTGCTACAACAAATATCATACTGTATTTATTTTAATTTGATATCTGACAATTTCTAGTTTAAATTTTAAACTGACCATATTAATTTAAATAATTGCCAAAACAAAATACAAACTAACTGGCTGAAGCTTCATACAGTACTTACGGCTGACATTTCTACACTACGTTTACTGAAGGCTGAGTATACTTTACTAATGCTTAAGACTTACCATTCAAATATCTGGCAGTCTGAAAACAAACATTACCATCCCAACATGTTCTACTAATACCAATGTCAATTTCAAACCCAATGAATGAACCAACCTGGTGAAACATTTAACAGCTATATAACCTGGGTCATATGTATATATATGACCTGTTTATAACAGGTCATATGCTTTCCTTTTTAATTTTACAGATCAGGTGACCTAGAAGGCTTCTTGAATATATAAATGCAGTAAATATATTAATGCCAAATTTCAATAATTAGAGAAATCAGGGAAAAAATCATATTAGTCCTCTTCAATGCCCTACCTTGAGGTTACTTTGAGGTGCTTCCAGGGCTTAGCGTCCCCGCGGCCCCGGTCGTTGACCAGACCTCCTGGTCGCTGGACTGATCAACCAGGCTGTTGGACGCGGCTGCTCGCAGCCTGACGTATGAGTCGCAGCCTGGTTGATCAGGTATCCTTTGGAGGTGCTTATCCAGTTCTCTCTTGAACACTGTGAGGGGTCAGCCCCTCACAGTGTTCAAGAGAGAACTGGATAAGCACCTCCAAAGGATACCTGATCAACCAGGCTGTGACTCATACGCCCTATCTGTCAGTTGCTCATGTATTCAAATGGTTTAACTCAAGTTACTACAACAAACCTGCAGCCAGAACTGCAACAGCACTATTTGTTCTGCAAGGCTAAAAAACATTTATTTTCATTAAAACCACAAAATACAATTCTTTCACAATAACATTACTTCAGCTTAAAGCATGTAACTAATGCATTTTATTACTCAAAGCATGTACAGAAGTGTTCCCCACTCAGATTCTGATACAGAATTTTGTAATGACAACAATACTTGGTTCAGTACAAAGTTGACAAGCAATAATGCACTATAGACCTTGACATGATGAATATTAACGGAAAGATGCCCAATAATAATAATAATGATCATACAGATAAATCATTCTCACAGTTTATGGAGTCTGTGAAGACTGTAAATTATTCTGCTCATGTATTTAAACTGGTAATGAAGCAAGTCATGAAAAATAAAATTTCATTGAAGTCTGATGGTATATGATTAATGAAACTAATTATCCATATCTATTAACTAAAACATAATCATGCATGTGCTGGTCAGCAAATAATGATGCACACCTGCCTTGGTACAAATCATCGTATATTACTGACCAAAATTTAACACCGTTTCTGGAGAGTACAAATACAGAACCTATTCATAAGTATAATTTTCAGACAGAGTATTTTTTAATAACAAAAACAAAGCACCAAGTAAAAATAAAAAGGAGAATTATAATAAATCTAATATTAATTTGATATAGGCAAGAGAAAATAAAGTCCACATAGTAATGATTACCGAGAATTACGGGTGTCTTCGTTTTCCCATTTATTTACAGTGTCTGTATAATGTGAACAAGTAAGTCCATAAAGTGGGCTTAACTGCAACATCAAAAGCATGACTTGCAATAATGCACTTTTAATCTATCTAAAATCCTTGCACCATCTTTACGACAGTGTTAGCTAACATCCTGAGAAATGATCCCCCATTGCATAAGCATTATTTCTAACACACAAGCACCATTTTCATTATAGCTGCATAAGTTGCACTAAACAAAATTATCTACATTAAATGTGCACTATATTCACAGTTAGGTAGTTGTCTGTCTCTGGACATTGCCAATGGAAATAAAGCCATAGCATCTGTACTAGTGCAGAGAATAACAAATATAATGAAACTTCAATATACAGTATATTTTAAAACCATATTGAATCATGAAAGCTACATATTAAAACTTGCTACAATAAATTTAATAATGTTAATTTTTCCACAATTCAGTGAATGTTTTTATGAAATTATAAAAAAAAAGTTAGTTATTTTTTGTAAAATTGAAGCAGTTACATCTAATTTAATTCTCTTATTTTCAGGCAAATAGATGGGCCTTAAACTGTAGAATGACATAGGCAGGCACCTAAAGTTATAAATACAATCAGAAGAATACCAAAATTTGCCTCGTTTCTGGACACTTAACACCACGAAAGGTGTCTAATTTAATTGAAAATGCCACAGATGCATTCCAACCAGACCATTCCACCTTATATATTAATATCAGGCCTTAATGGTCAGTGGTTCTCAAGGAATGAATCACGGACTATGGCTGTTTGGTTTCTAATCTGTGAACATGTGGGGAAGTAGAAAGTTACCCAATAATGTGAAAACAAAACTAAATAGTACTGACACATCCCACTGCCATGTGTAGTAATATCAAATCTTAATGCTCAGTGATTTGTGAGAAATGATCTATTGATCATTCGAATACCTGGCACCTGTCTCGGATACCATCTGGATACAAGTTTCCTGATCCCCACAGGGCCTGAACATCCAGGAACCTGGTACAGATATGTTATTCTAAAAGTATTGCCTAATAGTAAAGAAATTAAAGTATAATATAGACCATAATATATGGTTATACTTGCAAAATTCCTTTACAAATGGGTGATATGTCTTGCTGTCTGGAGGCAGGTGCCAGGGTGTACAGATAATTAATTGAAGTGTAACAACGTTCACAACACCATTATTTTGTGGTGTTGTGAATATTTTCACATTTTCAACAACAATTAATATTTTTGTTGGTATTGCATATTTACCTGTAGTCAGTTAAGAGTACATACTTCTTCTCCCCAAGCCTGGCCTGCAGCAAGGCTTGCCTTGTGGTAAGCTGATCTAAAAGGCTGTTGCTTGGAGCAGCCTGAAGACCCATGTATCCATTACAACAGAACCGGTCCAGCACTTCCAGCAAGAATTTGTCTGTCTCTTCAACATCACTTGTGTATAGGCAATATTTTGTATATACAGTATCTATCCCAATGTAATTTTATAGATAAATTTTTGCAATGAAAAAGTACAAAACTTTATGGCATCTCAAAGGTATAAAATACAATATTCAGTTCAGACATTCATTAACCTCATTTAACCATAAAATATATATTACAGCAGAATTAGTTTTTCATTAAAAAAATTTCCCTTAATAGCATTGCACATTCACCACAGTACCTTTAATATTAATTTTAAATTTTCCAGCACTTACTTCTACTTCTATAATAGTACCAGTACAGTATTTGTGACTTTTAAGTCATTCCTCTGTACATTCTTTTGATGCAGAGGTGGCATGAAAAAATAATATTAGCAAGAACTTTATTATTTTTTGTGGCAAATATATACTGTATATCTGTATATATACATATATATACTGTATATCTGTATATATACATATATATACTGTATATATATATATATTTTTTTATGCAGAGTGGTAGACAATTGTAACAAAGAGGTTGTAGATGCTAAAACCATCAGTAACTTCATCATATATCAGTGTCATATAGCAAAGAGTACTGGGAAGATGGGAGACCATGAGTATAACTCTCAACTTGTAACTACACTTTGATAGAAACTTTTCTCCTCATAAGTAATTAAGAAAAAACAAATTAATTTTCTTAATTTTAACAGGTCATATGCTGAGTTCTATATCCTTTCTCTGTTCAGTACTTTTGTTAATAACATTTTTCATAATGTGAGCTCTGTTGACCAATCCACACATTAGAAAATGAAGGGACGACGACATTTCGGTCCGTCCTGGACCATTCTCAAGTCCAGGACAGACCAAAACGTCGTCGTCCCTTCATTTTCTAGTGTGTGGATTGGTCAACATACTTCAGCCACGTTATTGTGACTCGAACGCCTGCATGTGAGCTCTGCATTAATATCCTACTTTCCTATTCTCTCCACTTTTTATTCCAATGCAATAGTTCTTGGTTGTGAGAAGTACCAAGTGTTGATGACAATGTTAACAAACACTAAGATCTCCAGATAATGGTATTAAACACCACAAAATTTGTAAGGTCTCCCTTTTACTTTTCCAAATACTGAACAGACACTGATATGTAGCTTGAAGATTAATCAAAATGCAAGTAATTTAATTTATAGCCTGCAGCATGTTTCATTGGTTTATATCAACAGAGAGTTGAAATATTCTTGTTATTACGGCAAGCACAAAGGGCCGTCAACAAAATAAACACCAAGATGCGACTAGACTATTTGTGGATGACATTTTATCGTATCCCGAAAAGGGTGAGGTTACCGACATCAACCCAACCCTTCTTTTTTTTTTCTTTTTTTACTATAGTATTTTACACGCACTAACCCAGATTCTCCCTGATATAGTAAAGCCCGTATAGGCATTTTGTAATAATACAAATAAAATCTATTTTCATGGCATGCGATCACAATATTCTTTTTGCATGTACAATAATAGATTTAATTTGATTACCATTCTAGATCTTTAGAAATTTGCTTATCTTTCACAGTTCAACAGTCACTCCTTGTGTTACTCAATGGTATTCACAAATAACTATTTTTGGCATCACCAACATAAGTAATTTATAATTTCATATTCTAAAGCCCTGAAAATTTACAGCGATGCTGGAAGTAAAATATGGATATGACAATACTGTATAAAGCTGTATGGACGCAAACCTGCACAGACAGTATTTATATTAATGCTCTAAATACTATACAAGCAAAATATAAAAATATAATAAAGTTTCATAAAATAATAAATATTTAATATTATGTACATTACATGTAATATATTCAGAAAGTAAAATGTGATTCAAAACTTTAATCTCCAAATTATTAATGCACTTTTATGTCATCCTTCCTAAGATATATTATACTTCTTAAACCACAGCTAAGGAACCGTAAGGCCAGCACTTGCTAAAAACGTTTATTCTCATAAGACAAGCAAAAACAAAAATAATACTTTCTAGATGAGCAAAACTGGTGGAAATGTCAATATAACTAAAGCTGTACATTATGTCAGGGGATACCCATTTTTTATATCTTCTTCCTCTTGATCGTGATCAAAAGCTATGCGAGGAACAACTTAGGCCTCTGATACACACTGCTTTTTGGTTTTATATAAGCAAAAGGTGCATGGTTTATTGTGACCCCGGCCCACACCTTGTACTTGGGGCAAAGTTTGTTAATAGCAGTGTAAAGTGATAATCATTTGCCATAGATAAAACTATCAAAACAACCGATGCAATTTACCATTGACCACCGAGTTCATAAGAAAGGAATTATTGTGGTCTACCTATTCAAATAGAAAATGTAATGATAGCTAGGTAACGTGAAGGTCAGACTGATGATTCAGATAGCCATTACCTTTGGGCATTTGATCTAAGAGTTTAAAAATACAAATTTAGGCTCAATTGTAGGCTCCTATCCTATCACTGGTTTGAGTTATGGTTAAAATAGGTAGCCGAGAGATGGGCTTAAAAATCCAAATGATCAACATATTCTATGAATTTTTTTTGGCAAGTAACAGAGCTCCATTAACTTTTGCCATATTGAAAAAATAGCATTATCTTTCAACATTCATCAGAGTAACTCATTTTCATCAGTATCTGTGAAAAGTAATTGCCATATGACAAGCAGCACCAGTAAATACACCCAAGCAGCACACACAATACCCTCAACTTGGCTCCCAAGTTCACCTCTAGCACCAATCTCCATATATCAGGCGACACTGATAACATTGCTCTTTTCAACTGAATTTTCTAACAAAGAGAAAGCTCCATCCATTGCAAATTTTCTTAGCGCTTCCCATCCTGCAACACCAACTTTCAAGCCTGCAATTCGACACCCAAAAGTAATACTATCTTTTAAACTGCGACCACTAGAGAGTGAAAATATAGTAGCAGCATTGAAGGTATCCCCAGCACCCAATGTGTCTATCACTTGGACAGGAGGGAAGGCAGGACTATGCACCAAATTGCCATCACTGCTGCTTGCACTTGCACCTTCTTCTCCCCATGGACATATCACAACGGCCCTGGATAACAACACAGATACAATAAATTGTCTATTTTTTATGGATAGATTGATTATATATTTGTAATGCTGAGACTAATATATACAGTATATATATATATATACACACACACACACACACACACATTACAGTAGAACCTCGAGTGACGAGCACCTCAATTGGTGAGCAATTTGGGTAACGAGCACCCCGATCACTGACAATTCGTCTTGTTTGGTGAGCACTCGTTTGAATAACGACAACACCACACGATGGGGTCTCGCTGCTTCTCGCACATTCTCGGACGCCTCCGACGATGCAGATAAATTGTGTTGTTTTTGTTGACCAGACTCCACACTAGAAGGTGAAGGGAGGACGACGTTTCGGTCCGTCCTAGACCATTCACAATTGACTTGAGAATAGTCCAGGACGGACCGAAACGCCGCCGTCCCTTCATCTTCTAGTGTGTGGTCTGGTCAATATATTTTAGCCACGTTATTGTGACTCATCGCCTGCATGTTGTTTTTGTTTAAAGATGCTAATGGTGCTGGGATGTAAATGGGTGACTGCTGTGATGTTGCAAAGCATTGACTTTTTTGTAGAAAAAAGAAATGAAATTTAAAAAAAAAAAAAGTAAAAAAAATTCATTTGGTGTTTGTCAAATAGGCTGCTCCATGTTTCTTAACAGAAAAAAATGAAAAAATTTGAAAAACAGAACAAATGTCAAAAAGGTTCGTTCGGTGTTTGGCAGGTAGGATGCTCCGTGTTTCTTAAAAAAAAATAACAAATGAAAAATAAAAAAGTTTAAACAATTTGAAAAACGGACAAATGCCATATAGGTTCGTTCAGTGTTTGTCGGGTAGGCTGCTCCATTATTGAGAAATAAATGAAAAATACAAAACAAATGGAACACATTTGAAACAAAGAAAGATTGTCATAATGGAGCAGCCTACCCGACAAACACTGAACGAACCTATATGGCATTTGTCCATCTTTCAAATTGTTTCAATTTTTTTTTTTTTTTTAAACATGGAGCAGCCTACTTGACAAACACCGAACGAACTTTTTGCTATAAAAAAATGGGGGAAAAAAAAAACCAGCGTTGAATGTAATGAAACGCCATTTTCTGGGTGAGACCCGGAGGCTCCCCGGAGCTTTACCGGCTGATATGCTAATGTCAGACTTTGGCATCAGTCATGTGTATGGAGTTCTAGGGCCTACCGGGGACCACGAGCCAGAACCTGGCCCCCTCAGAGAGGCAAGGGGAGCAATGGCCTATAGAAACCCCCGTGTGGTTGGAAGCATTCTATGTCTGCCATCGACCGGGTCAAGCATCCAGAAAGGTAAGCATTCCAAAACAAACCCCTATTCTGGTGAAAATTGCTACCTAAGCCGAACTAGTGAATAGAACTCTTCAACAGAAAACACGGAAACTAGTATGACGTCATACGTCACCGCGCCGCTGTCTGCGCAGCTCCCCCCTCCCCGGGAGGGGGAAGGGGGAGCCCCAGACCTCCCACGCCGGCTATCCACCCATCAGTTCTGAGGCTGGATGTCAAAACACGCGAAAAACGCCGACCGGAGGGAGGGAGGGTTGCCGGGGAGCCTCCGGGTCTCACCCAGAAAATGGCGTTTCATTACATTCAACGCTGGTTTTCTGGGGGGAGCCCCGTCGGCTCCCCGGAGCTAACTACCCACAGAGGAAGGTCAAAGGGACAAAACCGGGAGGCGGACACCACGCACCCCCCAAGGAGGCGAGACAACCGACTCAAAGGCCAAGGAACCGAGCCCGGGGAGGGGCCGACGTCCAACAGCACGTACGGCGAGTGGGGAGGAAAGACCCCACTCCGCGTAACCACAAGCCCCGCCGAGAGGGGGATAAAACCCCCCACGGGGTCTAACGGGGCCAAGGCCCCCCCAAGTCAGCCCCTCCCCAGCCCCGGGAACCTACACGACAGGCCCCGGAGCCGAGCCGTTCCCCCAAAGCCCCGGCCGTACCAGAAAACCGGGGCAGCCGTGAAAACACTAAGGAAGGGAGCCCACTGGCAGACTCATACAACACGGCTGGAGGAACAGGCCCAAATGCCCCCGTCACTACCCCGGAAGGGGAATTCCCCGAGACTGCCCGAGTCTCAACACCACCAAACACCCCGCCCTGAACCTACAGACGGTAAGGAACCGGATACAGGCAGGAAGGGTGAACCAGGGGAAAGACAAGGGGGCGTGGATGGAACCGAAGCAACCAACACCCCCAAGTCCCAAAACGAAAGACAACGGGGCAGCCCCGGGGCTCCCGGGGAGGAAACCACGAGAACGTTGCCACCACCAAGGCTCAAGTGCAACGCCCCTGCTGCCCGCACCCGCTTTGTTAGCACAACTGGGTAACCGAGCCACAACGAGCAACCAAACTCGCAGGACACCGGGTCGAAGGTGTCACCGACCCCACAGGCAGCAGACGGAGGCAAAACAGAGAGTCACCCAGAGACAAAAGGTGAGAGCAACCCTCAAACTCGCTGGAAGCGAGGGGGGGGCTCTGGGGTCACATCCATCGGACCCGCGCGCCCCCAGGGGTTTCCCAGGGTCCCGAGCGTTTACTTTAAGAGGACTCGCGCTCAGGTAATCCCAGGCAGGGTACTGCTAACCGGCACCCAAGCTACCAAACAACTTTCTAAGAGCTGAACCCCCGGGACGTGTACACTCACGGGGACCTAGCAGGGGGTACCACCAGAAATACTCAGAACACAAGGGACACAAGGGGCAAGAACGAAGGCAGACCCCCCCACCAGGTATATAAACAAAAGAAAAAGATAACCCCGCAAGAGGACAGCGTACCCAAGCGGAACAGAGCCGGCCGCTATGATTGGTAAAGACAAGCTGCACAGTACCCCGCGCCCCACCAGTGCAAACACTGCCCCTTACTCTAAGGCGAACAAGGGAGACAGAACACCCGAGCACACAAAGAGCGGCCGAAAACCAAGCGGTAAACGGCCAAGCAGGGGCAGGACCCAAGGAACTTGTGGAAGGTGGCCCCAAGCCCCAAGGGCAGTACTTACAGGGCACCTAGGGAAGGGAACCCTAGGCGCATGCAGCCCGAGTACTGAAGAATCACACCCGGCTCACGCACCACCTAGAAAACAGACACCACACTCTAGGTACAGTGCTGAAACAACCACTGGAGCCGGAGCACATAACCATTGATTTTCACCAGAATAGGGGTTTGTTTTGGAATGCTTACCTTTCTGGATGCTTGACCCGGTCGATGGCAGACATAGAATGCTTCCAACCACACGGGGGTTTCTATAGGCCATTGCTCCCCTTGCCTCTCTGAGGGGGCCAGGTTCTGGCTCGTGGTCCCCGGTAGGCCCTAGAACTCCATACACATGACTGATGCCAAAGTCTGACATTTATCAGAAGAAAGAAAAAAAAATTAACACATTTGGTCATAAAGGTTTGTTCAGTGTATGTAAGGTAGGCTGCTCCCTTATTTAAAACATCGAATATCATACAGTGTTAATGTTTTTCAGTGGTAAAACGGATTAATTTGATTTCCACTATTTTAAATGGGGAAATTCATTTTGAAAGATGAGTGTTTCACATAACGAGCTCGGTGCTGGAACTGATAAAATTTGTTATTCGAGGTTCCACTGTATATATATATTTATTTCACAGCCCAGGTGAATGGACCACACACTTCATATTCCCTTACCTATTGATTACATAATATTTATTGCAGAAACTCCATTAACCATGTGAAGAATCAACCAGTAACAATGAGCCAAGTAACAGAAAACAGATGATTTTTAATGTATACTGCAATGCTAATAATGCATTCTATTATACCATTCCCACATTATGGAGAGTAAACACTAAATCTGATAGGAAGCAGCTCCCTATATGGTTCTTTATTCTAGGACTAATAAATAGATATATGACAAGATACTTTAGAATATCATATTGCCGTTTGAATAACGACAACACCACATGGTGGGGTCTCGCTGCTTCTCTGCTTCTTATGAAAAGAAGTGTTGGTATTTAAACATGGTGTGTTTCTTAGACATAGCTCGGTCATGCAGCAAGACTAAAAAGCAGTGCATACTGCAATGTGCCAAAACACACCAAGTCTATAGTCTAAGGATCATAAACAACAGAATGTTACCAATTCACTTAATGTGGTTAACATGGACATTTTCTTCTATAATTCAAATAAATAATGTACCTAACTTCACACACACAGGAGCTTCTTCATCAACATGCAATGAAAGAATATACAGTAAAGCGACATGTAAGTGAATGTCACGGTACTGCCGTACACAACTCCTATATACACCAACCCTGCAACTTACTTGGGAAATGCTTGAGCTTGGACTTTCTCAAGCGTTTCTTGCATACTTCTGTATCCTTTATACATGGCATAGTCCTTGGAGACAAAGAGCACATCTGGCAAGGAAATGAGTGACTCAAGCTCAGGTTTTGCTTTCTCTATTTCAACAGAAATAGTGACAGGGATCCCATCCCGAAGGTTTTTATTGTGCTGCCTTATGCGGTCAATCATTTTTGTAACATTTGGCACATTTCGCCCCTGAAAAAGTGATCCTGCATGAAAATAAGTACATAAAAAAATGATTCACAATATTTTAACTGAAAACCATCCAAAGACGGCTTCTTACCAATATACTTTCACAAAACATGAAGACAATTATTGTAATAAAAAATAAAAATGGAATATTTTGCAAGAAGTATTTCAGTGAGCAGAATAACGAAAGCTGTACATCAATATGCATACAGTACTAAGTATACGAGTCAATTTAATAGCTATTTTTTGTATTATTTTAACCACCAATCGGTTAACAACCAGGTACCAATCCCTGCTGGGTGAACAGAGGCATAGAATTAAGAATTGCCCAAGATCATGCTGAAATTCCTCTGTTGATACCCGACATCCACTTGAAGACCTCGGTTACGTTTCCCTTCACCCTATTCTTATTCAAGGAATGCGAGCCGAGCTTTTTTTTAGCCTCTCCTCGCATGGAAGGTCCCAAATGCCAGGGATCAGTCTGGTCATTCTACAATGAATTTTGTCGAAAGAATTTGGTACAAGCCATCCTCCTGTTTCGATAGTACTTATAGTAACGACGAGGACCATAGTATATATACTGTACCGACGTACAACGAAATTAGAAAGTAGAAATCGGCACTATTGAGTTGGACAAACTGGAAAACTATTATGTACTTTTATTGCTTTGACAAACTAAACTAGTGTAACCTAACCTTCCCAGGCCTAATACACGATATCTGAGGCCTAATATAATACATGTGTGTGCTATACTAGGCCTAAGCATATTTAAGTTTGTGTTTTAGCTTCATTTATTTTAAAACAATTCTTTACTAGTCAGTATATTACTATCTAAAAGCTAAGAACATACAAATTCTGACTATTGACAATCATCACAATATGTACTATCTAAACAGGATGATGGGTTGTTTGGTAATATAGTGATCAGAATTGGAAAGCCCAGTCTAAGTGGGGGGCCTCACCAGGGCTAAATATAACTGGAGGACAATGTGCATTTATTACCGATGTTGCCAATTATAAACCCCAAGATTTCTACTTAACTTGCTACATGCACCATCACATGATACGAAGAGGAGTTATATCATTACCTCCCCAAAAAATCCACTAAAATGGTGTAATAGCCAAAAAACAGAAGCTCTTCAGAAATACTGACTTCTCGCAAACTCAAGATACAGTATATAAACAAGTTTTACAAGTCCCTTCTGTACAGATGGAGCATGTTGTTGTAATTCAAAACTCAAAGGGTTAAGAAGGTGGTCTGATCAATCTAACCACATGTAAGCGAGTCATATTGAGGACAAAGGTATTTTTATTTTCTCAATGCACTACTATGCAAAACAAATACAGCTGTAGTTGTAGATAAGGAATTCTATGTGAGCATGTGTGAAAAAAATTCCTTTCGACTGCATATATATGGAACTTAAAATAACATAAAATAAACAATGCACATGAGAATAATAGTGTACAGTACTAAGAGGACCCAGTCACATGTAAAATAGGTACAGAAAGAAATAAGATAAGAATGATAAGAAATATCATTCAATTGCTGAACACTTAAAGGATAGGGGAATTAACCACAAAACATAGTACCATAACAACTTACTTAGTCTCCTGGGTAGAGTAGTACTACCATATATGCAAGCTGTATCAATTATAAATGTGCAGATGGTCATCAACCAACACTTCACTTTAAGGTGATATTTGCCCAATTACTGTAATATTTCAGAATTATATAAAATGACTAGACATGCACATTATCTTCATAAAACACATAAGAAAAATGTACAATTGTGTTACCTACTAACCTTAAAGCAATTAGCCTTAAGGGACCTTCAGAACTTTACCTCAAAATGAACCCACTTGAATGGTGATAAGTCAATCTTGTCAAAATCTTCCACAGAAACTTCTGGAAGATTCTTATTGGCATGCACAATTGTGCGTGACCCTGTTGCAGCACTAAGAATAATGCACGACGCTGGACAGTCACAACCTTCGTGTATGACGGCATAATCTGTGTTTACATCAAACTTGGCAAAGTCTTCAAGGAGGAATCTGGTAAAAGTTTAAATGTTAAAAAAAGTGATTATTAAAAAAAATAAAGTTAGTGAAAAAGTTTGAAGGATTAGTGTCACATGCTATTGCAAATAATAATTGTCTGCAACAACAGGAAATGTAATAAGTAGATCTTAGTGTTTGTTGACATTGTCATCAGCACTTGGTACTTCTCATAACCATTGTGAGAAGTATTCCATTTGCATTAGAATAAAAAGTGGAGAATAGCAATGCAGAATATTAATGGAGAGCTCACATTATGAAGAATGTTGCTGACAAAAGTACTGAACAGAGAAGAGACATGGATATTTCAGTCAGGTTGATGTCTTGTCATCCATTGTTAACCCTTACTTATTATTCCTCTCCAAAACCAGTGATACAGCATAACGAACCTCATTACTTACTGGAGACATTCCTCATAACATAAAATAATTCTAATACATTTGCTTTCTTAATGATGTACTTAATTACTGTATTTGAGTTAACATGTATTACACACTTGTATGCAGAACAGTACTGTGAAAAATATTCAGAAATTACCTGTAAAGGCACACCAAAAATCATATGCAAAAACAAACCAAATTCTTTTGAATGTAGTACAGAAGAGGAAACAAGAAGAGATATACTGTATATTAAAAATTAAAAGGTCTGAGGGTTTAATGTGGGCCATCCAACACAAAGCAGGAAATGGCATTACAATTGTTTAGTTAATATCTTATACCCCATGACTTCTGGCTCTTTATAATGACTATTCTACTCTCAAAAATTCTATGACAATGACTCAAAGCTATGCAGATATGTATACTGTATAGAAAAAAAAAGTGCAGTATTATGTCTGCCATAATTACAGTACTGTACAGGCACTCTTATATTCTACTATACCTCTTCTCAGGGGAGTCAGCGATGGTGCCAAAAAAGGTTGGCTTAGCCCCGAGGAGCCCCAGGACAGTACAATTGTTGGAAGCATTACCGCCTCGCTGCCAACGCTGATCCAGACATCTAATAAAGTTGATCAATTGAAATAATGAAATAAATAATAATTTACTAGTTATGGTATGGAGCTTAAGACCAAAGTAACGGGGTAAGACAATATTTTAGCAAGTTAAAATTATTTTGATGATCATTAAGTAGAAATTAAAAATGTATAATATTTGAGGATTCAGATTATTTATAGTTAATTATTATATTTTATACAGTTTAAATGTTAAAAAAGAATATTAAAAACCAATAGAATGGCATGCAATAGTAACAACAAATTACAAATTTGTTCCCCTTTAAAAATAAATTGACCAAATGTTTCATAATTTAAGTATGAATTATGTACCTAAAGACAAGAAGGCCAATGCAGTGCTTACATATCGGTAACTACAGGAGAGTGAGATTTAGCTCTTAATGCCCCACTTCCTACAAATTTATATCTGCTGTACTCATTACATTACTTGACTTTTAAGTTCACCAAATTTTTCCTTAAAGTTGTCAATGGAAGTGGCTTTAATGCCTTCCTTCAATACATTCCACTTGCTGGCCTGTATTGTGCAGGGTATGAGAATTTCCTTATACAGTATCTCGATAACTCAATTGTGTATTCAACACAATTATCCTACCTCCTTTAAATTTAAATGTTTGCCTTGTCCCCATTTTCAATTCTCATCAGTATCTTGTGGATGTATAATTGTTTTTTCACCACCACAGCATTCGGCACCGCAGTGGTCAGTGCAGTCACTTCACAATCAAAAGGTCTTGAATTTGATTCCCATGGCAGGATAGGCACATTTTAACATGTTTCTATTCACCCGATTCCTCTGTTTACCTGGCAGTAAATAAGTACAGTACACAAGAGTTACCAAATCAACGGCTAATTCTGTCCCTACCAATGGGAAACAATCAGACGCATTCATGAAAACCAGAGCAGGGTAAAGAAAAATTAATTCTAACTGAGAAAGACTACAGAAATTTCACTATGTAGCATTCTGATAAAAAATCTTGTTTCACATCTGGTAACATCCTTCAATTGCAATATGATTGCTGCCCCTTAGTTAACCTTAGATTGTGTGATTATCAGTTACATACATACAATATGTATGTATGTAACTTCACATACATATACATACATACACATATGACATCACTTGATTAAGAGTATGTATGTACTGTATATGTGTGTGTGAAGAGATTAAGCAATGACTTCACTCTTGATTAAGCAATTTTTATAGGTCTAAACCAACACATCAAACAGTGGAACTTGAAAATAAAAAAAAAATTGTAAAAAGTAATTTCATCAATAATGAATCCTTCCTACCTTTGGTCTGTGTCTTCAAGAGGAAACTTGGAGACTTGACTGACGATGTCAAGACAGCAATACCCTACACAGAGTATATTTTGCTTTGAACTCATATTTGATATTCAACTAATTATTAAAGGTCTAATGCACCGTTCAACACATGACTAAACCAAATACTGTAGCTGTATGTAATTGTCCAAATTTGACCAGGCGATATTGTTTACAATTTCTGATGAACCTTGACAGTGCCACAATTACACGTGGTGCACATGAGAGTTTCTTGGACACTGGTCTTACCTGTGGAAAATAATAATGCATTAAATACAGGTACATAATAATCTCCCTTCCTCATAATCGTAGCATGTGCTTGAAGAGTGAATGGGTGGAAATACCCAGCATGTGAGTGTAACATGTAACAATGTGTACTGAGGGAAATAGGTTCTGGGAGGAGATGGGATAGGGGCAAAAGCCCCTAAGAAAAATTACCTTGCATGCAGCACTTTGGGGTTCAGTAGCTTTATTTATTCAAAAATTCTCTACAGGTCCCTTTTTTTGTTAATTACATAAAACTCAACGTCTAATTTAGCATCTTGTGTGTTATGTCAACTACTCAGAGGCCAAGGTAGTAGATATTCAACACACCAACTTTCCCACAATAATGAATGGCAGGTTAACAATTAATTGGCTCAATCTGACATTTCCAAAAGAGTCAGCCGAGAACATAACAGTGTAAGCACTGGCATAAGTAGTCACAGAAACCAGACCTAACCCAAACAAATAGAAACTTCATGAAAACAGGAAAGAAACTTATGATACAGTATTAAAGAAGACACCACAAACACAGCTCTACTACTGTAGCCAGAAATTGGTAACCCCATACACACAGACAAATACATTAGACAATTAATGGTGCTCGATTCTCGGCATATGAAAAAGTCATCAGGCGCTTCAAAACTTCATATGACAGACATGGATACCATGAGCATAGCTCCCATCCTTAAGCATTAAACTAACACAGAGGCAGAATAGGACTTGCCAACAATTATATATATATAGTGTGAACAAAAACAAATCTACAGCAGAGAATCCAGCTGTAACTGGACTACTAGAAACTTCACATGGCTGGATGGCATCTCCTACTCTTGCCATGCACCATTTAACATCATCAATAAGGTCACCATCTATCTAGTGGTCACGATGGGGACAGGACGCTGGCAGCTTGTCTCAGGAAAAATGGGGGAATCTTTCACAAGCCGCTGGTTTTCTGTCCCGTCATGGCCACTGGATAGAAGGTGGCCCTCTGGTAAATTCAGGTAAATACTCTGTTGTTTTCTTATTATATTGCTCCCAAATTCATCCCTGTCTAATTTACGGTATCTGCATCGGACTTAACCACTGCCAACTACTTCAAACCCATCATTATCCAACAAGATTTAGCTATCAAAAATATAGCAACTTCTGTCTTCAAAAGGAAGTCATATGACACGACCAGTCCCTTAAGGATTAAAACAATACCTGTACTGTACAAAACACAACTGTACTTTGTTGACTTAGTTCTTATTTCAAAATTATTATTAAGGGAATTAGCTACTCAATAGATATACTGTACTGGCCTGTTAGTTTTTGTTGTAGTACCAATTTTACTATCTTCTTCTGGGTAGCTGGAGCAAATGTTGATCATGTCAACACAAACATGTCCAACACACAGTATCTTATGCAGTGAGAGTGCCCCTACACCAGACATCCTTCTGCTGATTGGAAAAAGATATGAAAGTTACGTGTAGATGTATATCTTATAATAACTCTGCTTATTGTCTTGGTTCATCACTTCTTATTTTGAGTACTATTACTCCAGTCACACTGTAGCGAGTACACAAAAATACAATATACACAGATGGAGCCCAATAGGCTCGAGAACCTGTACACCAAGAGTGATCATGTCTTGTTGGACATTAAATACACTTTACGATATAATCTAGTAGAGAATGGGGATGTTGAAACAGTTGTTAAACTCGATTTCAAGAGAGGATGCTATGGGGAACTTAGACAATTTTTTCATGGGTATGATTGGACAGACTTGTTGCTAGGCAAGGAAGTAAATGAGATGTATGCCAAATTTTGTGAAATATACGATGAAGGCACACAAACATTCATACCAAAACAAAGATGAAGACTTAGGAAACAGGGCTGGTTCAACAGAAACTGCGAGAGCGCCAGAGATCAAAAGACACAAGCATGGAATCATTATAGGAAGAGGCCAATCCCCCAAACATACCAACAATACAAAGATGCGAGAAACAACTACACGTCAGTAAGGAGAGAGGCAGAGAGGAAATTTGAGAATAGTATAGCAGACAAATGTAAATCAGATCCAGACCTTTTCTAGAAATTCATTAAAAACAAGCTGCAGGTAAAGGATAATATTCAGAGGTTGAACATGGGAGACAGATACACGGAAAATGAAATGTGTGAAGCATTAAACGAAAAGTTCCAAAGTGTGTTTGCACAAAATGAGATCTTCAGGGAACCAGACACAATAAGAATTCCAGAGAACAACAAAGCACATAGAGGTATCTACAGACAAAGTGAAAAAAATGCTCTTTGAACTAAGCAAGAACAAAGCAGTTGGCCCAGATGGCATTTCTCCATGGGTTCTGAGAGAATGTGCACCTGAGCTCAGCATTCCACTTCAGCTGATTTCAGACATCCCTGTGTACAGGAGTTGTAGCTGATGTGTGGAAAAAGGCTAACACAGTTCCAATCTACAAAAGTGGCAGCAGGGAAGACCCCCTCAATTATAGTCCTGTATCATTGACAAGTCAAAATACTGGAAATAAATAATTAAAACTAAATGGGTAGAACACCTGGAGAGAAATGATATAGTATCAGAGAGTATGGTTTTCGATCTGGAAGATCCTGTGTATCGAATTTACTCAGTTTCTATGATCGAGCCACAGAGATTTTACAGGAAAGAGATGGTTGGGTTGACTGCATCTATCTGGACCTAAAAAAGGCTTTCGACGGAGTGCCACATAAGATGTTGTTCTGGAAACTGGAACATATTGGAGGGGTAGCAGGATTTGGGTAAATTTGGGTAATTTTATGGACCCCCACAAGGCCAGGTGTGAGGCGGCCACAAGGCCAGGTATAAGGCGACCCCAAGAGCAGGTGTGAAGCGGTCACAAGACCAGGTATAAGGCGACCCCAAGAGCAGATGTGAGGCGGCCACAAGAGCAGGTGTGAGGCAGCCACAAGGCCAGGTATAAGGCGACCCCCAAGAGCAGGTGTAAAGCGGCCACAAGACCAGGTATAAGGCGACCCCAAGAGCAGGTGTGAGGCGTCCACAAGAGCAGGTGTAAAGCAGCCACAAGAGCAGGTGTAAGGCAGCCACAAGGCCAGGTATAAGGCGACCCCAAGAGCAGATGTGAGGCGACCCCAAGAGCAGGTGTGAGGCAGCCACAAGGCCAGGTATAAGGCGACCCCAAGAGCAGATATAAGGCGACCCCAAGAGCAGGTATAAGGCGACCCCCAAGAGCAGGTGTGAGGCGGCCGCGGGTGCCATACCCTACACCTGACTTACCCTAACCAGCAAGGCATATATACCCTTCATGCCACTTCACACCATTCCTTCAACAACCTACCCCAACGCCCCACAATTCCTCGGTCACGTTCCATTACCACAAAACAATCTTCATACTCGTAAAATCAACAACAATATGTCATCCCATCATGATAAACAAACCACAGGACCATCACAAACCGTTCCATACAATTGTGGTAAAGGTTATACTTCAGGAAAATACCACTACACGATATTAGAGGCCATATGTGAGGCTCTACGCCTCAACTTACACAATGCCACCACAAAGGTGAAGAATATAGATGATAAACGTGAAGAGCCACAGGCCGCCGCCGATACCTGCTCAATATTCACGTGTACTGACCTCTCACATGGGGATAATGATACATTATCTAGCTCTTCATCTAAGATTAATTGATTGATAACGATTAAATTTAGTTCATTTATTATGCACCCTCCCATACCCATCTTGTGGGAGGTGGTGGAAAGGGTTACAGAGGCACATAATGGGTTCAGGGACTAAACACCACAATTCATTCAGCTAAGTTAAAATAAATATTAAGCCATCCCAAAAGGTGGTACGGGCATGAATAGCCCGTAATCTTTATCTAGACTCTGTATTCTCTCAATTGTGGGGTTCAGTCCCTGAGCCCACTATCTGTAACCCTTTCCACTACCGCCCACAAGATGGGTATGGGGTGCACAATAAATGAACTAAACTAAACTAACTCTCATATAGAGAATATAAAGTTACAAGTAGCACGGGCTACTGGCACAGGAGCGGGGCTGTAACTCAGGGTACCAATACATTTCTGTATTGGTACCCTGAGTTAATTAAAAAATACAAACTATAAAATATTTTATTTATACAAAACAAATCTATTTCGATTTTTTAAAGGATACCTATTTAATCATATTGCTATGGATGGAAAGTACAATATATTTATTTATTTATTTATATATAAGAAGGTACATTGGGTTTATGAGAGTATACAGACTTGAAAGTTTCACATTCTTGTAAAGCCACTATCACGCATAGCATTTCGGGCAGAACCTGATTTGAATATGGATTTATGATCCAATCAATGTTCATGTTTAGTGCTATTAATCTTGTATAGAGGGGGAGGAATAAAGAAGCCGTGCCAATCTTCACCCTGGGTACTGGGTATGGCCTTAATACAATGGCAGTACACAATACGGAGTCCACACGTTGGGTGCCGGTTGGCCGAGCGGACAGCACGCTGGGCACGTGATCCTGTGGTCCCAGGTTCGATCCCGGGCGCCGGTGAGAAACGATGGCAGTTTCTTTCACTCTATGCCCCTCTTACCTAGCAGTAAATAGGTACCTGGGAGTTAGTCAGCTGTCACGGGCTGCTTCCTGGGGTGTGGGGAAAAAAATAGTAGTAGTAGTATTATAAATAGTAGCAGTTGATTGACAGTTGAGAGGCGGGCCGAAAGAGCAGAGCTCAACCCCTGCAAGCACAACTAGGTGAATACATTATATATCTACCATTTCGCACACAAAATTTGTACGTTCTGTATACAAATTATTACTCACTATTAAAACACAATATAATATTATTAACAGCTAAACTCTTTTACTTAGCAGGCATATGAAGTTAAACGAAATTCAGTGATGTGACACATAATCTTGGGCTTTAACCCAACATCTCATGATCAAACACAAAACACACGCCCATGCTTTTATTTTATTTATTTATATATACTGTACTACAGTTCTTACATTCTTGTAAAGCCACTAGCTTGCATAGCCTTTTGGGTAGGGCCTTGTAGGGAGTATATAATGGTCAATAATATACTCCAAACCCTCATTAGCTTAATGAGATTGGTTTGTTAAGTCTACTTAATCCACTAATGACAAAACTCATACATCTTCCCTAATTGCAGTTAACACTCCTTCCAACCTATTAGGTGAGGTTGGGCAAATTATATAAACACTCGACAAGTGAGTAATCATCTTATGGGCTGTTCACTCCCATGCTACCTCTTGGGTGGCTTAATCTTCATCAATCAATCGAGTAATCGTCTTACGGGCTATTCATGCCCATGTCACCTCTTGGATAGCTTAATTTTCATCAATCAAGTAATCATCAAGTTACAGCCCCGCTCCTGTGCTAGGTAAGTCCGCTACGGGCTCACCATAGTCCTTGCTACTGTGAACTTTTTGTTCCGAGTAGCTGAATCTAAAACAACAACGAATAATCATCAATATAGTTTCAACAGTGGTTTAGTTAACTTAATACAGCTTGAGAGTACCACACACCTTCAATCTCGAGAATGTAGCACTCGGCGTGTCCAGTTCTTACCGACTCCAAGAGACTTCAGCTTTGACTCGGAGCAGACAGCTGGACTCAGGCCGCATCTAACTACCAAACTCTCGCCCCACATCGAGTTCCTCGACTCTACCCACATTCAGAGCACCACGCTCTTCGACTCTCACCCCACATCCAAGCTATCCCTGGCCTCACTCGACTCTCTGCTTTGCTCCAAGTTTCGTCTTAACTTCTATGACAATACCAACAACCAACTGCTGTAACCAAGACTACTAAATAAATATCAAAACCACTAAACTCTGTGTATCTAATCAACCAAACAACATAACATAATCGTACATTACAACCTTAATCTTAAGTTTCCCCTGGAATATGACCTGCCACATTGGCACCTATTTACTGCTGGATGAACAGAGGAGTAAATTTAAGGATACAAACCCAGGCCAAATCGCTCGCGAAGTGTAGGGCGAGTGTCTTACCAATGCATAATGGGGACTGCTAGAATATCATCCATACTACTTAAAGAAACGAAACTGACTAGTACTGCTTGTAAGCAGGAAAGTGTTGCCAATGCACCAACGAGCAACCTATATGCATATAAATTATTGAACTAAACTAAGACACTAAAGAACAACCAAATTTAAACTTTCCTGGGTCTAGTATAGTACATACATGCTAAATTATGCCTACGATGGAATATAGGGTCTCGTAGTACAGTTGACTTTGTTCTCGACTCACTATCCCGGGTTTGATTCTCGGGCAGGACAGAAATAAATGTGGCTTGGGGAAAAGAAGGCACCCCAGGAAAGCCGTAAAGTTCTAGTTTGATAGGTGATAGATGTCTCTGGAGTCCTTCCTTCCTTATTGTGTGCGCTGTTACAACTGATATGAGTGGGGCTTCTATGGGGTACTGGTACTATTAAGGGGTATAGGTAGTTAGAAGACAGGAGTATCAAATATGGGAGAGCTAAAAGGCCCGGCCCCCAAAATAAACTATCCACAGTAGTAATAACTTGCTACAAGACCAAATATGTTAGTCTAAGGGTTGATCACTGCACTCCCACCTTGGAAGAAGAGATACTCTGTAATTCATGTACTTATTTATTAACCCGTTAACAACCCCCCATATACACTCACACCAATAACAATAATAATAATAACTTTACCACACTATCTTACGTTAAAAGCCTTGGTCCACGTAGGCAGGATACAAGGTTTACACTAATAACAAGCTAGGGTAAAGTACTACTGGATAAGCACTGAAGCTGGATGCAGCTTAGGGTAGTGAAACCACGTGGGACCCTAATACAAAACACAACACTTAGGGGTACCCAAACACTGGCAAAATACTATCCCCAGGTCTCACCAATCGTTACTACCAGAGTAGGCACACTCACTAATGCCCTGTACTTAGCTTAAGGATACAGGAACTCCAGGTAAGGGAAATAAGTAAGAGGAGAAGGAAGGAGAGTAGGGGAGCAGCCACAGAGTAGGTCTTAACCTCACGCCACCAGCCAAGAGAAGAGCGAGCTCCTCGCGACCACCTGGCCTCCCTCATGTCGTGGTGCCGGAAAGAGCCTAATTGATCGTGCAGCTAAGCACATTAAAGATCTTCCCCTATGCAACGTATTGTTACTTTATGAATGATTAGAAAGTATTAGTAAGCAAAGTTGGTGCCTATGTTATTATTTAATAATCAACCCCCAGCTCAGTCTTTAAATGCTCTTTGAGAAACAATAATAGTCTTACGTCTGGCAGGGAAGATACAAACAATTTCCATTCGAAATGCGCCAACTGTACTACTTAGGAAGTTTAATAGCTCAATTTTGACCTCTGGTTTCCACTGGAGAACCCAGGGTCGTAACACTCCTCCCCCCTTCAGAGAAAAAAAAAAATGTGACCACTAGAATAGTAGTCATATTTTTTTTTGTAAGAGTATACAGAGAACAAAAAGAAAAACATGACAAAAACAAAAAATAAATCAAAAGCAATTTCTCTGCAAAAAAAAATACAAAGGAGTTCTCTGAAAGAAAAAAAACATACACAACAAAAATAAGAGAACAGGGAAGTAAATAAATTGGACACGGAATATTTAATGTCACAGGAGAACCTAAAAAAAAATTACTAAAGCATGACAGTTGGTAAATGGCTTTCTGTGGCTCAGATGAATGTTATTCAGGCAACCGGGACAGAGCGTCGGCTATCACGTTGAGTCTGCCCGGTAGGTGGGTAATGGAAAGATTGAAGTCCTGTAGGTACAACGCCCACCTGAGGATGCGTTTATTCTTACCCTTCATCTGAGTCAGGAAGACTAGTGGGTTATGGTCCGTGTACACTTCCACTATATTACCTGTGAGGTAAACTTCGAACTTTTTACATGTTAACACTAGCGCCAACGCCTCTTTTTCTACCACTGAATAATTGCGTTGCGCCTTGTCGAATTTCACAGAGTAATAATATACTGGGTGTTCCACCTGATCATCCCCAGTTTGCAACAACACTGCACCAGCACCCGAGTCAGACGCGTCAACATGAATTTTAAACGGTCGGTCGAACCTTGGACTAGCAAGCACTGGGGCGGAAGCTAAGATCAATTTCAAATTTTTAAATGCCTCTGCACAGTCTGATGACCACTTAAATTTAACGGCTTTCCGCAACAAGTCTGTGAGAGGAGTGGCAACACTGGAAAAGTTCTGACAAAAACGTCGATAGTACGCACACATACCGATAAATCTTTGAACGTCCTTTTTAGACTTTAGTACTGGATACTCCAGAATGGCATTGATTTTATCTTGCCGAGGTAACACTTTTCCTTGGCCCACTTCATAACCGAGGTACGTCACTGTGCCTTGGCCAAAATGACACTTTTTAGCATTTAAGGTAAGATTTGCCCTTTTCAAGATGGCAAACAACTGGCGTAACCTAGCTATGTGGTCAGCCCAATTACTGTCAAACAGCACGATATCATCTAAATGCGCCCGACAATTTGGCACCTTAGCGAGTAGAGAGTTCATGAGTCTCTGGAACGTGGCAGGGGCATTACGCAAGCCGAACGGTAACACTTGATACTCAAAAATACCCTCGGGTGTC